TGGCGTTTGGTTCGTGATTTTAATTTTTAAAATTTAAATTTTTTATGAGAGAAAAATACTGTAACAAAATTAAGAACTATGATCTTAAACTAAACAAAACTCCTTAAAACAAACGTCGCTTTAAAGTTAATGTTACTGCTCAACCACTGGTTTTCTCTCTAATTTGCTATATGGGGACCCAAAAGTATTAAGAGGTACATGTGTTGACTGTTTGGACATATTTCCAACTTTTGAGGGAATTGGAAGGATATTGAAAGTTTGGAATAATTGTTTAATGACCGATGGCAATTGGGACCACGATTTGATTTTAGTGCGCATGACTGCTCTAAAGTCCATGGAGACTCATGATATGACTTGTTATTCACCCCAAAGGAATAAAAGGGGGGTAAAGATGATTACCATTCTTGGTTCAGAGACTACAAAATGGTCCACTGAATGATTAATACAAGAATTGCCAAAGCTTAAACTTTACAATCACTATTTGTAGGATGATTCTCTGAAATTCAAAGGCTCCGCTTTTATTTACCAGAAATATATTTGTAGAAAAATTATAACGAAAAAACAGTGTCATGGCATTACAAAAGTAAAATATGTCTTGTTAGCTGGTGCGGGAGAAAATTCGCATACACCTGTACTCTTTTTTTTCCATTCTATTTCATTACTATTTCTATTACTATTCCACAGCGCACCCTTAATACTCATCAGTTACATATTTGAATTATGATTAACGGGGCACGTTCTGAGAATTTACTTGTAAGTGGTGCTTCTCAAATCACTATTCTTATACTCTTTCTAATAGAATACTTCCTTATTGTCTTTGGGAAAAACATGAACTTGATTCAAAAAATCTTCCAGTACTTTGAAAATCCCTTCCCTTGGAATGCTCATTTGGATATACAACGGACAAAACCCAATTTTGAAATGCAAAAAGAGACGGGAGAAAAATATATACATCAGAAAATCACCAACAGGTTCGACACTGCCATGGGCAAGTTGTACCGACATTGGACGACTCTCTTTGCCTGATACTTTTCAGTCCCACTTGGAAGTCTATTTCATACTTTAAAGAAGGCCCCTTATTCTCCTGAAAGGTCGTCCCCGTCAAATCCCATTTAGTTGGGGAGGCTGTCCAAACAAACGGTTATAACCGGCATATATCCCCATAAAAGAAAGATAGGTTCTTGTAACATCCCTTGCGCTACTTGGTAAGGAAGCATAATAATACCAAAACTGCAAGTCCAGTCGTCTTCGACGCACATTTCTGATTCCAATCCATCCCGGTGTTTGTATGATCCATATGATCCATGCTTTACCAACCAGAATCGTAAAGTTGATTGCTCTCAAGCTGATGGCAGAACACAAAATTAACAACTTGCCAAAATCTTGAACCTACAAGAGATCTTGGGTGGCGGTAGCGGTGGCGGGAGAACAAGAAAGAAACCTAGAAATTCATCTCTCCGCAACTCAACACAAGAGCCTTGTTTTTAATCGCAGATATGACGAAAAAACAACGGAGATAGCATAGTCAACCTGTTACTTCAGATACATGATCAAGGCTCGGAGATTTTGATTTCCAAAATTTTAAGAGAACACTTGGGCATTCATAGCGATGTACAAAAACAAAAATCTTAGAAAGGGCCATGCCTAAGTGGTAGTGGTGAGTTTGGTAACAATGAAAAAATCATGAGTTATGGCACATAGCTTTAGGTTCTTCTCCACTAATTGCATGATGGATCGCAGATTGTGAGCATCGACGAGGATCATCGTATCACCATCAAGGCCATCCAATTTATGCCTTGAGTTGAATGGCAAACCAATCCTCGTTCAGCAATCTTCAAAATTGCTCCAAGAACAATTCATTGTAGAAGAACTCTCATGTCGCCTAATCAGATGCCTTGAGTTGAAGTATTGAACTCTTATTGCAGAGCAATTCTTTGCCATATAACTAATCTGTTCTTAATTTTTCAAAAATGGCTTCAATCAGGAAACATTCTCTTTCTCCTTCGGAAGTTTCTTGCCTAAAGCATAACTATTAGAGTCGACCTCCATTTCGTTCGTCTCCAGTACCACAAGGCTGAAAACCAACTACACAACGAAAGCAGGTAACCAAACAGGACAAATATATCATACCCATTAGAAGCTTCAAGAGCAACAAATTATAAAGATTCTCAGCCAATGTGTTAGAAAACTTCCCACAAAATTTAAGCAATGTTCTATACAACACAAAGTTAGTTGTCTTTTTCTATTAATCCTTGGATAAGTATCTATTATGCATACCTCAAGTAGCTACTCTCTACTGGTAGACACCTGAGCACTGCAGGCTCTTAACAGAGGGCCCAGCAACAAATGGGAGGTTACAGAAGCAACACTGTAAGATTATTATACCTCAATTCACAGAAAGGAGCCTTTAAACCATTGAATACATTTCAACTTTTTTTTTTTTTGGATAATATTTCAACCTTTTTATGAATAAAGGTTTTCTCATTCTCTGTGGGCATTTACTTGTTTAGCCATTCACCATTTCTAACTCAGATATGTCAGTACTAATCATCAGAAGAAAATTGTGATGCTTCTACTATACTAAGAATATTTTTTGAGGCATTTAAATTTAAAATCATCAAAAGAGAATAGCACAACAATGTGATATCAGAAGAAACAACCATCCACACAGAATAGTGCGGTGCGCATCAATAATTTACAAAACACAGCAAGACATTTTTTGACGATTGCCATTTTTTCCCTACGTAGTTGAACTAGAACTGGACTATAGAGAATAGAATCACTTGAACCTTAGGCTCTCAAGCCCTAGAACAATTATTATTCCTTCATTGCTAGGGACAACACAAACTTATAATCGAAATTGACATGTAAATACTTGCAGTTAACAAGGTAATTACCCTCAGTTTGACATGGTGATGCATTTCTTTATATTGTTATTTCAACGGAAAGGCAAATAGAAAAGAGAACACACAGGCAAATAGAGAAGAGACCATACAGGCATAAATATTGAATAAGAGAATAAAGGAAAGTGTTAAAGTATACAACTATTATTGGCCCACCTCCTAACAGCTTAAGCTTTTGGGATGAATTGGTAAACTGGTATCAAAACGGGAGGTCTTGAGTTCAAACCCCTGTAATTGCACTCTTTATCCAAATTGTCATCATGTGTTGGGTCTTTTAATATATATCGGGCTTAAATATTCACGTGTTGAGCTTTCTAATTAATTTACCCACACGATAAAACTATTGTTGGCCTACCTCTTAACAGCTTAAGCTTTTGGGATGGATTGGTAAACTAACAAAAAGATATCTGAAAGGAAAATGAAAGATGGAGGAGCCCCATGTACTATGTAATTAAACCTAACATTCACTGTTTTATTGGGATTCACAAAATATGTCATATAGCTAGGTCGCAAGACCAATAAGTTGAGTGAGTTAGACATCCATTCGAGTTATAGTGTTGGCAACTTTAACAACCAATTGGTGCCCTTCTGAAAACCTTTGAAAGGGATCTTCCTAATCATTCTTCGTCATCATGCGAAAAATGGTTGGAGAGGCTCAGGATTCCGCAAAAAACTGGGAAAAACCGTGGGACCTGGGTTGTGGAGAATAGAGATGATGGCCAATGAAGAGCACCGCCTTTGTGCACGGGGTGATTTTGGCAATAATTGGCGACGGGAAGCCCTGACATTTCGAATGAAGGGCAACGCTCAGCGGAATGAGTTGTGAGGAATAGGCGACTCATTGGTTTTGGTAGTGCGTGGAGGAGCTTCTGATAAAGATTCATTGTAGCATTAGCGAGTTTTTGCTCATTGTTACTTTCTGAAGAAAGTGACAGGGCAGTGTCGACGAAAACATCACAATGTGGCGCATGCAATGGCCTGTGGGCGGCAAACATGAGTTGGTGGTAAGAGATGCATGTTTGGGGTTTATGTGAATGGTCTTTAGATACAAAATTATTATTGGCTAAGAAAGCTACTCATTTTGGTACCAATTGATGTAGGACCAAGATAGATGCAAGAAAGAGAGAATTTATATTAAAAAAAAGAGAATCATGAAGAAGAAACCACAAGAGAGCTAGAGATGTAAGAGAAGAACAAGAACTTAAGCAGAGGACACTTAAATTCAATATTCCTTAATCAATCATCCATTTTGAGATGAAATAACAATAACTAGTTTATTTTTAGAAATTTAAACTAACAAAAAGATAAGCTTAACCAAATCTAAATAAGATAAACTTAGCTAAATTCAAAATATTCTAAATAGATAAATAGAATCTTAAATTCTTAAGATAAAAGGTAATCTAAGAGATAGTTATCAAATTCAAGTTCTGAACGTGAATTGAGTGAGTTTCTAGTATTCACAATTATACATATAAATAGCTGTACAAGGAACCATTTAAGGAAACTATCCTACGAAATAAAGACTAATTGACAACTATACACATAGCTATTCTAGGAAACTAGATCAAATCACAATCAATCCTAACTATTTTTGATACAATCTTTCTTGATTCGGGTGAATATCCGAATATCTTGCAGCACAATCTTCCCTAATTCGGGTAAATATCCGAATATCTTGCAACACTCCCCCTCAAGCTGGTTTGTAGATATCTTCCATAACTAGCTTGCTGAATAGTAGTTCAAACTGTCCTTTGGTGAGTATGTCTGCTATTTGCTATGTAGTAGGTACATAAGGAACACATATTAGCCCACTTTTAATTTTCTCCTTGATAAAGTGCTTATCTACCTCAATATGCTTAGTTCTATCATGTAGAACTGGTTGTGAGCAATTGAGATGGCAGCTTTATTATCACAGCAAATCTTCATAGGAAGAGGCACCAGAATCTTCAATTCTCCAAGTATTCTCTTTATCCACATTGCTTCACAAATTCCATGTGCAAGAGATCTAAATTCTGCTTCAGCATTGCTTCGAGTTACAACGCTTTGCTTTTTGCTCCGTCACGTGACAAGATTCCTTCCGATAAAGGTGTAGTAACCTTAAGTCGATCGCCTGTCAGTAGTGCTACCGGGCCAATCTGCATCTGTATAGACTTCAATTTGTAGATCGTTATGTCTTCTAAACATAAGACCCTTTCTAGGAGTTCCCTTCAGGTATCTTAGAATTCTATAGCCTGCATCAAAATGTACTTGTCCTGGTGTGTGCATAAAATGGCTTACCATGCTCATAGCGAATGCTATATTATGATGTGTATGTGACAAGTAAATCAACTTCCCCACTAGTCTCTGGAACTTCTCTCTGTCAATCACAACTTCAGATTTAGCAGGATCAAGTTTCAAGTTGGCGTCAATAGGAGTCTCCGCTGCTTTGCAACCTAGAAGACCAGTCTCCCTGAGGAGATTAAGGATGTATTTCCTTTGGTTTTCAAAGATCCCTTCCTTTGATCTTGAGAACTCCATACCAAGGAAGTATTTTAACATACCCAAGTCCTTGATCTCAAAGTCTCGCGCCATTTTCTTCTTTAGGTCTGTTATTCCCTCATGATCATCACCTGTTAGAATTATGTCATCCACGTAGACAATGAAGATGGATATCTTACCTTTCTCTGAGCGTTTATAGAACATCGTATGATCAGCTTGGCTCTAATGAAAGTTGTAACTTTTCACAGTCTTCCCAAACCGTTTAAACCACGCTCTTGGAGATTGTTTAAGACCATATAGAGATTTTTTAAGTTTGCAGACCTTGTCTTGACCGAACATCTACTCAAATCCTAGTGGCGGATTCATAAATACTTCTTCTAAATCCCCATTGAGGAAAGCATTCTTAACATCTAACTTGTGTAATGGCCAGTTATAATTTGCTGCTAAGGACAACAATACCCGAATTGAATTTATTTTGGCAACTAGGGTGAAGGTTTCTTGGTAAAATCCTTAGCCACAAGTCTCGCTTTATATCTCTCTACACTTCCATCGGCCTTGCACTTTACTATAAACACCCATTTACACCCTACTGTTCTTTTATTCCCCGGTAGGTTGACAACTTCCCATGTCCCACTTTTCCTCAGAGCATTCATCTCTTCCATCACTGTTGTTTTCCAGTCAGGATCATTAAGTGCTTCCTGAATGTTTCTTGGCACAAGTATATTATAAATTTTAGATGTAAAGGCACAGTGTTTCTTTGAGAGTTTACCGTAGGACAGATATTTGGATATAGGATGAGAGGTACAAGAGCGTTTTCCTTTTCTGATTGCTATAGAAATATCAAAATCATTGGAATTGTCATTAGGTAAAGAAATTGACATAGGATTAATGCTAGACTCAAGTATTTTATTAGGACTAGAAACAAGGTTATGCAGGGAAGTATCTAGAGTACCTGTATTTCTTTCAGATTCATTACCCAGGGTGTCTGGTTGAGCCTGTGCTAAGGGGATAGTAGGCCTCTTACCCTTTTGATGATTCTTCCTCCTTGAATAAACAAGTAGCTCAGTATTTTGTTCCTTGGAAACCAACGGTAGTATTTCTCCCCCTGTCGAGGACTCATATGTGTTTGGCAGAATAGCCTCAGGATCACTAGTTTCCAGAACATTATTGGGAAACTTAAAAAACTCATTTTGAGATATAGGATCGATAATGCAATCCACTGTTTTAGGTAAGGGTTGGGAAATAACGTCCCAAAAATTTCCTTCTTCTTCTAGATTCTCCCCCTAAAGAGAAATTTTTTGAAAGAAAGGTTGATTTTCCACAAAAATAACATCCATAGAAATAATGGTTGTCCTAGTTCGTGGAATAAAACACTTGTATCCTCTCTTGTTAGGTGAATAACCAATAAAAATGCATTTTCAGCCCTTGGATCTAGTGTAGATCGATTTTTACTAGGTATATGAACATAAACTGTGCACCCAAACATTTTTAGAGGAAGATCAGAAAGAATACGTGTTTCGAGAAAATAATGTTTTAAACATTCAAGAGGTGTAGTGAAATTTAGAACATGAGTAGGCATCCTGTTAATTAGATAAGATGCAGTTAAAACAACTTCACCCCAAAGATATTTAGGAACATTCATAGAAAACATAATAGCTCGTGAAACTTCAAGTAAATGTTTATTTTTGCGTTCAGCAATACTATTTTGTTGAGGTGTATCCACGCAAGTAGTTTGATGATGAATATCGTTTTTTGTCACAAATTTTCCAAGAACTTCTTTAAAATATTCAGTGCCATTATGAAGAATCCTAATTTTAGTTTGAAAAAGATTTTCAATCATCTTGTAAAAATTTTTAAATAAATTTTCAACCTCAGATTTTTCCTTCATTAAATAAACCAAGCATAAACGAGTATGACCGTCAATAAAAGTCACAAACCATCTTTTTTCCGAAGAAGTAATGATCCTTGAAGGACCCCAAACATCACTATGGATTAAATAAAAAGGTTTTGAAGCCTTATAAGGTCTTGAAGCATAAATAGTTCGATTACTTTTTGATAAAATGCAGTTCTCAAAATGTAATTTAGAATAATTCAAACCTTTAAATAAACAAGGAAATAGTTTTTTATGATAAGGAAAACAAGGAAATAGTTTTTTACGATAATCTATAGTGCCAAAGCATAGCTTGATCCTTAACTAGAGTAGAACTGATACTACTTAAGACTTGAGCTCTTTTATTCTTAGAATCTTCATCTTCAAAATAGTAGCGGCCATCTATCAGCTTAGCACTACCAATCATCTTTCCCGAGCTCAGTTCCTGAAAGATACAAGAGGATTCAAAAAAGGTGACACGACAATTAGAATCTCTAGATAATTTACTAACAGATAGCAGATTACAAGTAAGTTTAGGCACATGGAGAACATTTTTGAGGGAAATGGTTTTAGAAAGAGTAATCAAACCTTTATCGGCTATGGAGGAATATGAACCATCTGCTATACGAATTTTTTCATGTCCAGAACAAGGATTGTAAGTACGAAATAAATGAGAAAGACTTGCCATATGATTACATGCTCCTGAATCCATGATCCAAGGAGTAGAATAACTAGGAAAATGACAAGATAGGGCATTTGATTTACTACCTGCTTGAGCAACGGAAGCACTAGGAGTACTTAATAACCCTGAGTTGGACTTCAGCAGCTTCAGAAGGTGATCCATCTACACTTTGTTAAATGGAACAGATTCAGCCTCATGTGCAGTAGCATTGCGAGTGAATCGGCCTTCATGAGAGCCCTTCCAATTAGCCGGTTTCCCATGGATCTTCCAGTAGGTCTCACGTGTATGACGTGGTTTATTGCAATGGTCACACCAAATGCGTCTTTCATCAGTCTTCTTGGTAGTGTTTCGGCCACTATTCATTCCAGCGGCCAAGGCAGAGTTTTCAACATTACTGCCGAAGTTCTTCTTGCCAAGCATGACCAGACGGCGGCTCTCTTCACGGCAGACCTCAGAAAACACCTCTCCAATCGAAGGAAGTGGCTGTCTACCAATAATTCTGCCTCTCACCTCATCAAACTCCACGTTAAGTCCAATAAGAAATTTAAAAATACAGTTATCCTCTACCGTTTTCTTATAGTGATTACAATCTTCTGGGGATTTCCATTCATAATGATTACAAAGATCTAAATCCTGCCAAAGACGTTTTAAGGAATTAAAATACTTAGTGACACTATCCTCACCATGGCGGATTTCTCCAAGTTTCAAGGTCAACACAAATACTTGAGATTAGTCCAAGTCCTAGTACATTTGATTGACGTTGTCCCAAAGCTCCTTTGCCGTGTGATAGCACAAGTAATTGGAGCTTATGTCCTCCTCCATAGAGTTCACCAAGCCACGTCATCACCATGGAATTTTCAGTGTCCCACGTTGGATAGGTTGCATCATCAGCCACAGGCTCCTTCTTCTCTCCGGTCAAGTAACCAATCTTGCTCCTACCTCGGATATGCATGCACACGAATTGAGACCAGCACAGGAAATTTTCTCCATTCAATTTAATTTTCAATTTAATGGTAGTAATCTGAATGGAGTGAGATTACGAGGTGGAGGCAGCAGCAGCAGGTCTTGAAGGGGTATTCTTGGGCTGTTCTAGATTGCTAGTAGTCTCGGAAACGCTGTCAGACATTATGGAAAAATTGGGCTGTTTCTGGGCAAAAAAAACTAAAGATGACGGCTAGGCAACCGGCAGTTTCTGGGCAGAAAAGACTAAGGGGGGCGGCTAGGGTTTTTTTCGGTAGCGGCAAAATGGGACCAGAGACTAGTGCTCTGATACCGTGAACGTGAATTGAGTGAGTTTCTATTATTCACAATTATACATATAAATAGCTGTACAAGGAACCATTTAAGGAAACTATCCTAGGAAATAAAGACTAATTAACAACTATACACATAGCTATTCTAGGAAACTAGATCAAATCACAATCAGTCCTAACTACTCTATTTTTGATACAATCTTTCTTAATTCGGTTGAATATCCGAATATCTTGCAACACAATCTTCACTAATTCGGGTAAATATCCAAATATCTTGCAACAAGTTCCTAATATTGTAATCATGTTTTCCATCAGAAATCTTAGCTTGAGAAACAAGTAGCAAATTATTACTTGTTTTTTAAAGTTGGGAATCTAATCAACACCAAAACGAATTTTGCATTTTATTTCAAGTTATTCATGGTTAAATCTTCGTGAATTTCAAGTTCCAGAACAACACAAGGACGTTCTAATTACCTTGTTCGAGGGGGACAATAGAAGATTTTATTACAAACCAATTCACTATAGCATAACTATGATAGTAAAAAGTAAAAATCAAGTCATGATCATTGTATATATGATTTTCTTTTGTATACATGTGTCCTAGAAATCCTTGGAAACTATTACAGAACAGTCTAAATTGGTATTTGCTGAGAAAAGGAACACTTTTTTCCAATGAACTTGATGTGTAATAGCTACATTTGTGTAGCACGAAGAATGGAGGAAAAAGAAAACATTGAGAAAGAATTGTTCTTTAGTTTGTGTAAATCCCTTTCTAAATAATCCTAGTTTTAAGGCAGGACTACATGTGGTTCTATCCATTGGATAGACCATGACCAACTTATTTCTAAATCAAAATTCTATTAAACGAGATAACATCCTCTTAGAACCTCATTCAGCGCCACAAATCTCCCGAATCGCAGATACCAGCACTTTCTCCCCCGAAACTGAACGGAACTGCTTGATAAAAACATCTTTTGCTATCTTTCCCGCCTGTAATAAGCCATAAACAAGGGCCACATGGTTTTGTATTCGATTTTAATTGCTTCTTTCTTTTCCAAATTCAAATCTAGCGTAAGATGCACAAAATAAAGGAATTAATACTCGGGTAAACCGGAGAGCGTTATGATACCTTGAGTGCCTCGTACATAGTTATGCATTCCTGAACTTTCACGGGAGAAAGGGAATTCTTAATCTTCGAAAATAACTCTGGAAATGTGTACTTAGATCGCGTAAAAGCCCCCAATTTGGCTGAAAGATGACACCGCAAAACAAGCTTCGACAGATTGAAAAGACACTAATATAGTTAAGTAGAATCAAATAAACAAGAAAAACCATACCTGGCAAACGATCAGTAGATTTGTAGCTAACAACACACTCCGGAAGAATGTGCCTGCTCATATTGGTGAGCCAGACAACAAACCACTTGGGGTTCTTCGGATCATCAGCCCCCGTATCGTACTCAGTACTAGAAGGATAACATTGTTGAGAACTAGCCTCAACTCTTTCAACGTTACCCAATATAACCCGGCACAATATGAGATGCTTTTCGCCATTATCATCGGCCTCCTGTTGCATAGTACTGAATAAATCACAACAACCAATGTCAAAAACCAGCTAAAACCCGAAAATTAAAGCAGACTACAGACGCAACAACGTAATCACCTTCTAAAAGGACTGGCTAGGGGAGACAGATAGACACCCCCAGAGAACTTGCTAGACACACCAAACCCATGTGCCAAAACGCCCGCAATGGCTTGCGCCGACGCTCCATACCAAGCGTAAACCACATTCGCCGCTCCTCGAGCAGCCTTAGTAATCTCCATCTGCTTGTAGAAGACTTCGCGGCGAGCTTTCTCCAGTGGTCCCACGCGCGCGCACTGATGAATTGCGGTGATGATGGCTCCGGGATGAATTTTCCTAATCCCGGGAATGAATACATTTATCACCGTTGCATAAGCGCCGTCGCCTTCTGTCAACAGTTTGGCGTTCGGCCACCTCGGAGATTCGGAATCGGAAGCATCCGGAATACGCTGTCGTTTCGCCGTATCTCCCAGCTTAAACGACGACGTCACCTCGTTCTCCTCATTCGCTTCCCTCGTCCTCTTCCCCAATTTCTCCTCCGACCTCGCGTTGATTCGGATTTCGATCTCAATCTTCGTATTCTCCTGCGCGTTCGCAAATTCCTCGCCGACAAATTCCTTCGGGAAGAAGCACTTACCTCCCTCGTCAATCCACGCGATTGATCTCCGATTTCCGGAGCTCAAATCAACCTGCAACATACGAAGAAAATCGAAGAGATAATTCGAACCTCCGATCACCACATCGGCCGCCGACCTCCGTTCCACGAAAACCGAACGCAGAGAATCCACGACTCGGCCGGGGAAATCCGTCCACATTCCGCTGCCATAGAACATGATCCGAACCGGAGATCCGCTTCGCTTGAAGTTCCCATGGTTCTGCAACAAAAACCTCGTTGTCCAGTGATCGAGAATCGCTCGATTGCAGAGCTTCGCACGGCTTTGCGAAGGCGACGAAGAGGACGAAGAAGAAGCCAAAGAAGAAGGATAAGAAGCCCCGACTTTGATAGATTTAACCAGTTTTCTGGCTTTGGGATTTCGGCAAATTGGGTAGGAAGCCATGGATTCTACAGCTCTGAATCAAAACGCGAGGGAAATTCACGCAAGCTGAAAGAATCGAAAAACTTGGAAACCTACAAGGCACGGATTTATGGAGGTCGTGCTTGGGGTTAAGTTACTGATATAGCCCTGTGACGAAGATAGAAGTTGAGTCGGTTGTGTGGTTTCTTTGGGGTAATTTAGTCATTTTGATTTAGGTGTTCTGAGAATTTGGAGAGGCTTCGAAACGTGAGGTCAAGTTGTCAACGGAAAGAATTTTGTAACCGGCGGCGTTTGGCTACAGTGACTTGCGGATTAAGTTAGCTTTGGAGTTTTCAGTTATTATTTTATTTTATTTTATTTTATCATTTATTTCCTGAAACGGTTACGTTATGAACCATGCCACGCCGGAATGTGACTTTCTTTAATACACTGTTTTCTTCGGCCCAAAGAAAAATCGGAATAAATACCTACTTTTGACTTTTTTATTTATTTTTTGTTTTTTTTTTTTTTGTTTTTTCTTTCAGCAATATTGACAATTTATCTGCTTGCTTTGTTAATTCTATGTCACGAGTTTCTAGCGAAGTTCTTCTTTATTAGGATTTCCTTCTTATAAAGGTTGTTTTTGTGACTTTTCCTTGCCCTGGAAGAATAGATTTCGAATTGGGGTATTTTGTGGACCTTTAATTGGTATATATTTGTTTATTTATTTCTGTCGATGATGAGGAATTACCTTATCCGTAGAAGTCAATCGGGGTAAGCTACTATTTTTTTTTTAATCGTTTCTTTTAAAAGGACATTTACCATTGTATTTGGTGATTGTTTAATTAGACAAAATGATTTTTTTTTAAATTTTCAAATGAGACAAAATGATGTTTGACATCTGAGGAAAACAATGTGGAAGGAAAGGTTGGAGAAAAGTCTTCTATAATCTTTGCATATATGTTCTTCTAATATATGGAAAACGAACATTAAATTATTAATGCACAAAGAAAATGGGGTTAAACAAATATGCATGGTTCATCTCAAAGCCACACAACAAGTCAATCATGAAAAACAAGGTGATATAAAGAAGATACGTTGTCGTTATATATAAGAAATGTTGAGATAAATAAACAAAAAAATATATGTACAGGGTCACCCTTAAGGCCACTCAATTTACTCATCTGACATGTTTTTTTGACTGTTGGATGTGAAATTAATGCGTGGATCAAATAGGGGCAGCCTAATATCAATTCTCTTACTTATAACGTGCACCAGAGCTTTAAAATAGGGAAAAAAATGCTGAAAACATGAATGATGGTAGAAGCACGAAACGACATGTAGCTTCTGCTCTCGAGACTCATTTTTTATATTAATAACTAACAGGTGTCACGTTCTTTATTTTCGCGTGGTCCCGTTCGTTTCGCTGATTTGAGTTTATAATTTAAGTTGAGATGTGATTTTATGTGAGAACATTTTACTGTAACAAAAAAGTTAGATGTAACTGTTTGTGAGAACTTTTTACTGTAGCAAAACTCGAATTATAAACTCGAATCAACGAAACGAACGAGACCAGCAGCACACATGTCCGCCGTTTTCAATCCGACTGCCGAACTAATACTTAAATGTGCGCGCACACACATATATGTGTGTGTATATATATATATATATATATATATATATACACATATTCAAACGAAAGAAAAAGTACCAATATTCTTTTTACGGGAGAAATTGGTTTTAGCATAAAGGATATGATTGAATATCAAATGTTATCAAAATATATATTATATATTGAAAAGAATCATTTTTAGTATCCTCTTTATTTTAAAACATCAAAAAAAAATTAAAAAATAAAAAAACATAATATAATTAATGAGGAGTCTGTTGGTACTTTTAAACTAATAATTCTTAATTTTAATATTTAAATTTTAAATTTTAAATTTTTGATAAGAAAAAAATATTCTAACAGAATTAAAATCACACAAATTTATTTGCTTAAAACAAAGAAACCCGAGTTTTGACTGCTTAAAACGGTTTATTTATATATGTGCGCGCGCGCGCGCGTATGTATGTATAACTACATATAACGAAAGCCTGAATTTGGGCCTTGTTGGAAGGGTGAGGCCTTAGGCAGTAGCCTTAGCTGCCGTACCCCTCAGCTGGTCCTGCTATACACTATAATCCATACTGTGTTTATTTGATATTTGATAAGAGAGTTGTCTCGTTTACTTCGGAGATTTGAGTTTTTAATTTGAGTTAAAATGTGATATTTTTTGAAAATTTTTTTAGTAGCAAAAAAAAAGTTGAATGTGACATTTTTTAAGAATTTTTTACGTATTTTTTACTGTAAAAACGTAAAACTGAAAACTCGAATGGTGAAATAAATGATGTAAAATTTTTTTTTTTGAATGAATTAGATAAACGATTTCAGATCCTTTTAAAATACCCTTTATTTTAGTCTATCCATATTATTATATTCACACACTCATATTTTAATGTTCCTTATACAGTCACATTTTCAAAATTCTGTTTATGTCTATTATTCTTTGAGTGTGAATTGTTAATTTTATCTTTTTTTTCCTTCTATTTTTCCCTTCTTTATGCATGAACTTTTGTGTCTTTTGATCTATGATTGCCACGTGTCGATGCCCGACTAGCTGAAAGAAAAAGTGACGGGATCCACCATTGTGAAGTTGCTCTCATCCCAAGTTGCGCCTGCGCACGCTTCGTTTGCGCGTGTTTTTCACGCACGAATTACAACCGTCAAAATTTTTGATCGCACGATTTCAAACCATTTCCGATTTATTTTTAAAATTTGTATTCTTTATTATAGTTATTTACTATTTTGAATTGATTTGGAGTTCAATTTTATCTGTTTTACCACCGTTTTGTGCTAAATTTTTATATTACTTAAATAAAAATACCATGAATAATATAATAAAATTAAATAAAAATATGTATACTAAATGAAAGGAAATGTACACTATTCACACACTCACAATTTAGTATTCATTGTGCAGTGACATTCCTAAAATTCTATTTATGTCCCTTGTCCTTTGAGTGTGAATTGTCAATTTTACCATTTTTTCATTCTCTTTTTCCTTCCATGTGCATGGGCTTTTGCGTCTTTCGTTTTAAGATTGTCACGTGTCGATGCCAGGTTGGCCGAAAGAAAAAATGGCGGGGCCCACCACTGCGAAGCTGCCCTCTTCCTTCCGCTAAACGCACTTCTCTCGCATGTGCTTTTCACGTGCGAATCACATGCATCGAAATTTTTTATCGTACAGTTTCAAATCATTTCTGGTTTATTTTTAAATTTTGTATTCTTTATTATAATTATTTACTATTTTAAATTGATTTAGAGTTCAATTTTATCCGTTTTACCACCGTTTTATACCAAATTTTTTATATTATAAAAATTTATATACTATAAATTTTTTTAACTTTTTATATAATACAATAATATTTTCGCATAAACATGCGAGCTTTTGACTAGTATAAGATTAGATAAGAGAATTTACACTTAACACAATAAACAGAAATATCGTGTTATTCCTCTGTATTTTATGCGCCTAAATCTTTTTTTTTCTTTTAGATAATTATATTACATGATAAAATTTCATAAAGTGAATTTAAAATTAACAAAAATTTTAAAATATATGCAAATAACAAAAATTACACAGTTATTATCACAATTAATTTTACACTCGATTATTTTAATGATATCAAATTTTATTATAATTATAATATTTTAAAAATTTTGTTAATACATAGGGGTGCGTTTGGAACTCGTTACAAAATAATTTTATTTTTTATATGAAAATGAAAATGAAAACGTTTTCAATCTCAGACATAAATCATTTTAAAAATGCGTTTGGTAGTTTTATCAAGAGATTATTTTCAGTATAAAAAAATCATTAATGTCTCTCTCTCTTTCTCTCTGCTCGAGAGAGGAGAAAATGAAAACAAAAAATAAAAAATGATTAAAAGTCATTTTTAATTTTTCTCTCATTTTACATTAAACCAAAAAATCGTTTTTATTTATGTTTTTGTCTTTATTCGTCAAACGCCGTTTTATAAACGTTTTCATTTTTTCTTTCTCAAAAAACGTAAAAAATAAAAACGGGATCAATTCCAAACACGACCATAAACTTCACTATTTCAATCTTATTATCGTGGCGTTCGAGATTGAATTCCACTAGTAATTCATCATCGATTCATATATTATCGTGTTTTATAAAATAATTTAAAATCGACATCTTAAACGGCAATTTTCAACAAAATAAAATTAAATTGTGTTTTTTTTTTTGGAATGAAATCATTTTTACAGTAAAATATTGATTATAAATGTTCGATAAATTAATAACCTCGATTAAATAATAAAATCTTTCGATCCAATTTATGCTAATATATTAAATTAAAAATCTTGTCAAATGTATAAGATAATTTTTTTAAAATTCTTAAGGGCCCAATGAAAATATAAATTAATAATTAATTAAATACAAAAAAAAATGATAATGAATAGCATATAAAAACCATCATATAAAAGAGTTTCTTTTTAGGTACTGAATTTTAAAAGATGCGTACATCAATTTTATGTCCATGTACATACTTATTAACATTATATGTACAATATAATTACGTTAATCGGACTTTTTATTTACATATATATATTACATTTATTATATACATAATAACTTTTGAAATTCTACATGTAAACATATTAAATCTGACTACATTCACTACTTTTTTTTTATTTATAACCCATATAAAAATTTTGATAAAAAATAATAAATGTACCGAAATAGTACAAATTATTAAAATATAAAACTCTTCTTAAATTAATAAAATAATTGTTAATTCATAAATTAATACATTGTTAAAATAATATTTTTTTTCTTAGTCTGAACAATATTATCTTACTCTATTATTTTCCTTCAAAGAAACACTTTTAGAAATTCAGTAAATACTCGTTTTGTTTTGTTTTTTTTTTTCTTGTTCCTCCTTCAAAACAAAACTCCTAGGTTTAGTTTTGCGTCATCAAGACATCAAGTTCAACGCCATTTTTCTACCTAAATTGCTTCATTGAGACCACAAGAGGTCGGTTCGCTCTGCTTATCGCAAATCTGTGAGTAGTTAATTTTGAATTTTCTACTTTCAATCCTTTTCCTGTCCGTGAATTACTTCTCATGAGTATAATCATGTATACATACACAGCTTTTATGTTGCGTTTGGTTTCTCAGAAATTGAAGTAAAATTTATGAAAATTTATAGTGCCAGGGCTAAGATTGCGGTGCTTTGGATGCTTGAAAAAGCTGATTTCATCTCAAGTCAAGTATTTGCATTGGATAACGAGTAAATGTAGGCTATCATTTTCATTCTCGTCGCGAACTATGAAAAGTTGGCGAATTCTGAACTTTTATTGCTTCTAATTTAGGTTTTTTATGTTTCTAGATTCGTGTGTTATGACTACGTATATGAAATTGACCTCAAAGAAATGGTGGTTTATATTGTTTTGCAACAGATTGATTTTCCTTCTTTTTCCGGAGTTAATCTATTTTGTTATTAATTTCGTCTAAATTTCAGCGAAAAAAGTTGTGGTGTACATAGAAATGTCTGCTTCATTGACAACTTCAAAGAGGCAAAACGATGGCAACGTTTCGGAGCCGGATGGGAAGGGAAAGTTGCAGAAGTCAAACGGTTCGTTTTCACAGAATAAACCTTTGAAATCTTCTCCTAGCTGTTCCGAGTTTCGTGTACTGTGTCCGTCATCGAAGACTGATAGTGCCATTGGAAAAGATGGATTGATCATATCAAAAATTAGGGAAGAAACTGGTGCAACAGTCGGAGTTAAGGAAACTATTCCTGGTTGTGATGAGGTAGTTATTACCATTTGTTTTGATAAAGAAAATGAAGCTCCTACAGAGCAGAGTAAGGAGGGTGATGGTAAAGAGGAAAATGTGGATGAAAAACATGATGAAACAAAGGAAAAGGGAGAGAATGCTGATGATAAGGAATCTGTTGCTGTCGAAAATTCGAAATCTGAAAATGTGGTTCCATCTGCATCATTGCAGATGGCTCTGATGCTCTTTTTTGACAAAATGGTTGAGGGGAAAACGGACACAGATGGTGGGGATGGAGAAAGAAAAAAGTCTTCAATTATGGTTTTGAGGTTACTTGTGCTTTCAACTCAAGTGGGATGCATTTTAGGAAAGGGTGGCAGTGTGATCAAGCAAATGGCGTTGGAAAGCGGGGCACAGATTCGGATTCTTCCCAGGGACAAACTTCCTCCGTGTGCGTCAGTTGTGGATGAATTAGTTCAGGTAAGATTTGATGTAGGGATGTTTTAAATGCACCACAGAATCACAATTACTGCCAACTGATGTATGTAGTAGTCGGTGCCACTTGAGGCTAGCTCAAGTGGTTGGGTGAGTGAGAGTGTGTATGTCCATCAGGGTTCGAATCCTGGTGGTTTCATTTCTTGTGTAAAGTGGGAGCCAAAAAAAAAGAAAAAAGAAAAAAAAAGCAGTCAGTCATGATGTTGATACATGGTTATTGGTCTATTTTAATGGGTTCAGTACTTTGGTGACTCAACTTTATATTTTCATGTCGCTTCTTTGCTTTTCTCGATCAGATCAGGAAGGTCACTAGAGTCTAGAAGGCTCAATCTATAAAATTTGAGATGAGATATTCCTAGTTGACTATATTCTATATGGTTGTTACATTTTATGATTTTGCTGCAGATTACAGGGGAAGTTCATGCAGTTAGAAAAGCTCTTCAAGCCATCTCACTGCAGCTTTTGGGAATTCGTGGACGTGAATCTTTCCCTGCTAATCGTACAGGGCCATCATCGCAGTCACAGGGTCAACCTCATCCCAGACCTGAAGCATTCCCATCAGTTACTGCTCCCCCCTTGATCCCTAAATTTCACGAAGGTGGTATCCATGGTCGAATGAGGCCTTCACAAGAAATATTGACCTTTCGCTTATTATGTCACGCTGATAGAGTAGGTGGTATAATTGGAAAGGGTGGAACAATAATAAAGACAGTTCAGCCGGACACTGGTTGTGAGATTAAAGTTATGGAAGGCACGTCTGATTCTGAGGATCGTGTTATTGTTGTATCTGGTCCTGTGGTATGTTTTGATTCTGATTTTTCTGGATATTATAGGTTCTCATACAAATATATTTTTAGCATTTTCCTTCTCAAGAAACTTCTTGTCATTTATGTTTAGTAAAAGGGACTGTTTTCTTTGGAAATGCTGATAATAAATAAACTTCTGCAGCATCCAAATGATAGGATATCAGCTGTGCAAGATGCAGTTCTTCGTGTGCAAAATAGAATAGTCTGGGCTGTACCTGATAGCAAGGAGCAAAGTGTGACAGCGAGACTTCTTGTTTCCTCTAGTCAGATTGGTTGTCTTCTTGGCAAGGGCGGTTCAGTCATAGCTGAAATGAGGAAGTTATCTAGGGCGCATATCCGTGTATTGGGGAAGGATCAAATTCCGAAGTGTGCTTCAGAAGATGAAGAAGTGGTTCAGGTATGTTTCATTTGGCGTATCTGTTTCTTTGAACTTGATGGGTTTATACATCTTATTTAAGGCTATCATTTCTTTTCAATAACATTTTTTTAGGGTTCAATAATAAGAGCATTATATATATATATATATATATTGATTTTATATCTGAGTTTGAGTAATTCCCTTGGCGCAATATCTTGCACCTTCTCACTGTGACTTTTGCTATGCTTTTCTTTTAAATTAGATAAATGGTGAATTTGAAGCAGTTCAAGATGCTTTGGTACAAATCACCACCAGGTTGCAACATCATTTTTTCCGTGATGCATTCCCTTCCATGAATTATCCCACTCCTGCATTTTTGGATCCGCCTCCATTCCTACCGTTTTTAGGAAGGAGGGAACCCTCACCGCCGGGAATGTATCCACATTTTGGGCCTCCTTTTCACAAGTTCAATGACATCGGTGTCCTCCCTCCGCATGGTGGTTTTCACCCTCATGATGACCGTCCCCCTTTTATGCATGGTATCCATAGATTCGGTGGCCCCACTCATATATCTGAAAGAAGACATTGGGGTCCTCAGGTATTTACTTATAATCTCATGCTTCAAGTGCCAAAATCTTTTCCTACCAGTTGTTTGTATAAATAAAGTTGTGGTTTCTTGAGTGCTTTTGGTGCCAAATTTCCATCAACGTATGCTGAGTGCCTTTTGTGACTCTCTTCTTATATGCTGAGTGCCTTTTGTGACTCTTCTTTTACTTTGCTATCCTCTAGTATAAAATGCTCCGTGTTATACTATAATTTTTCTTGGCAAAAGCATATTGTTATTGATTAAGCGACGATTAGATGCTAGTTTATTAATATTCTAAAATCTGGTTCACAGGGATTTCTTGAAGGTGGCGGTCCTGGCTTGCCAGACTTTGCTGAAGTTCCACAAAGAAGGGCCCCTGGATTTGTAGGGTAAGTGCATTGTACTTTTGTGGAACTTTTCATTTGGTTCCAGTCTTGAATTGTTATTGCTTCTGATTTGTTCCTGTAGAGGCAACCAACCACCCATAATTAGTAGCACCACTGTTGAAGTTGTAGTTCCTCGTTCAGTTGTTCCTGCAATTTATGGAGAAGATGGTGAATGTTTGAAACAAATTCGTCAGGTACATTCTTATTCTTTTATTGTATTTGTCCATATAATTCAACAAAATGAGCACAAAATACTCAATTTAAGCAGAAGTATAAATTACGACTAAGATGTGGTTGTAGACTTGGCCTAGCAGTAATTCCACACTCACTTTAAAGTTGTGTTCTTGAGTTCGAATCCCCTGCCCCTAAAAATAAAAAAAAAATAAAAAAAAAATGAGCATCCATTACATATCTTGATTTCATTGCATCTGGAAAGTCGTTTCTCTTGAAAAATCCTATTCTTAATGGAAGTTTTATCAAATTCCATCCCCAAACCAAAAAGAAAAAGAAAAAAAATTAACTTTGTTAAACAGCTTTAGCAAACCTAACATGACACTCTTTTTCAGATTTCTGATGCAAAAATTACAATAACGGAACCTAAACCTGGAGCGGTGGAAACTGTGATAATCATAGCTGGAACACCCGAACAAACTAATGCGGCACAAAGTCTGATTCAGGCATTTGTGATGAGTGAGACTGAGTCTACCTGATATTTTTCAATTCAGGTAATACTTGTGTAACTATTTCCCTTAGGGCATTTAGAATGGGGCATATTTAATTTAAGTGCCTTGTAGCACACAATGTAGCTTGTGTCGCAATACTGGTGTTATGAGTTTTTCCAGGTCACTTTAAGAGGTAAATCCTCTACTTTGTTAACTTTCTGTTTAAAAGATCTCGTTTTTAACTTTCTTTTTCTTCCTGCGCTTCTGTGCATTTTGTATTGCAATTAAAATTGGCAGGATGTTGGTTGAGTATATAAGTTGAAGCTAGCTTGATACTCGAACAAATGGTGGTTAAAATAGTCGGATCGACAACTTCTGTATAGAGTTTTAACATAAATGGCTGGTCAAGAAGTAAAGTGAGACACTTTTTAAGATTGTAGATTAAAATGCAGCTATGTGATGATAACTTTTCGTGAAAGATAAGAACTTTATCCAAGAGTTTTGAAGCTCTCGAGCTTCAAGTGGTATCCAAGAATTTTTGGAGTTTCTTAACCAAAGAAAAAAAGTGTTGGGAAGGATAACTCGGACAATTCACTCAAGTTCACTATGTCTTCAGTACACCATTACATCCTGAGAAGAGTTTGCTATGTACCTGCTATATCAAGAATTACTCTGACGGGGCTTGAATTATTATAAGAGAGGAAATACCACACCTCATATAATAATAAGATTCTCTTATGGTCTTTTACTATTTTGTCATAATAAAGCAGCATCATAGAATTTAGACATCAAAAGTGGTCTTCCATGGAGCAGATTGCTACTAGGAAAAGCTCAAGGATTGCTCAAACGGGTTTATGGTGCTTGTAAATTTGTTTATTTATACACACACACACACACACACACACACACAATATATATATATATATATATATATATATATGTTGGGTCTTGCTCTGTTGGACCTGTGCAAGTTGCCTTTTATTTATTTATTTATTTTTTTTAATTTTTGCTGAGATGATCTGTCTGTAAGTTGTAAATTGTATGTATCTGTTCTATTATTGAACCTAATTTAAGATAGTGACCTATATATAGATATGGGAAAGGACAAATACTTATTTTTGGTAGTCAACGTTTCACAGTTAACTACCTTCCGCTCTCAGGGATTTTCTCTCTTAAATAATGTATCTTCATCTACTGTAACAAATGAAAAATATATACATATATATATATATATATATTTTTTTTTTCCAAATACTTAGGCGTGGAATTCCTTCGACATTATCAAAGTGAAAATTTTACAAGAGATTTTAATTCTCACTCAGATAAGGAAAGAAAATACCTTGTCACATTTTGTTTACTTTGTCCGAACTTATCAAGCATGAATTTACTAGATGCTTGAGGAGTTAAAACGGTAAACAAATCACAAAAGCCATGGTGTCTGTAACCTTATTGAAGAAACTTCCATTTAGCCTTGTTTCTTTTGCTCCTTCAGATGAATATATTGTAAATATTCAGCCAGTCTAAAAGACCTTACAAACATTTGGCAGCAAAGATGACGTACAGACTTGCAGGTAAAATATCTTTTTATGGTTAAAGAAAAGAGGAAATCTATCACACAAATGCTGGGGACCCACTAAAAGCTATATGGCAAAGGATTATTGTGTCTTGAAGGGCTTATATGTCTTAACATCTGTGGCCAATCCTTGAACAGAACCAGCAGCAGCCACAATTGACACTACCAAACATGCCCAACTCAAGGTCTTGAGCATGGTCCACCTGAAGGAGTACTTGGGGGTTTTGGTCTGAGCAATGTGCATTTCGATAGGGAAGTAAACGGTCAACGGCCAAAACGAGGCTGCCCCGAGGAGACCCAAGAAGTCATTGAAGAAAGGGAAAATCATAGCTATCACTGTCGTCAATATAACGTAGGCGGTTCTCCACACCACCTTGAAAGGGCTGACGTAATAAGCACCATGGAACGGAATGTTAACAGCGTACTCGCTTGTTATGAACTTGTTCTCCGACAAGCGGTTTGAGCAATACCTTTCCACAACTCCGTATATGGGTTGGGAGAAGACCTGCCAAGGGCAAATGATGTCAATGCACAATCTTTCTTTTCCACGCACAAGCCTTGGGAAACAATGCACAAAAGTGGGAAACAAAATTGAAGAATCTAAATAAGCTTACCTGATAGGCACCGATGAGATGAATGGCGATGCAGACATTTGCGAAATCGATTAGCCAAAAGGGTTCGTAGAATCCGAATCCAGTGAGGAAGTTTCCAGGTGCATTATTTCCAAATGCTGCATAGCCAACGCAACCACACAGGACGTAGAACGTCGTGGTAGTCGCTATGCCAGTAAAAGTTGCTTTTTTCATGGATTTGTTCTCCGGGGGACTTGCTCTCAATGTATCCTGCAATCAACAGCTTAACCATAAGGACAAACACAAAACAATCATTATATGTGATTTATTTGTACCAAATTACCTATCAATAGTACTATTTATCACTAACTATTACTTAGATGTGCATTATGATAATCACCGCTAATAGCAGACATTATTTATTATTTGATAAAGATCTTGACAGTTTAAAACTGTTTTTTTTTTTAATATATTTTATGATTAATTTTATCTTATCAATTATTTTTAGTTTTAGGTAAGTGTCGAGGAGGGGGTCCAAGTAACAGGTGTTGATTATTCAATAAAGTGACAAACTTTAAAAGATGTGACGAATCGTGAAGAGGGAGGAAAATTTGATGGGAGATTTGCTAAGAGTTGCATGTAAAGAGAAATTATAATAACGATTTAAAAGAAAACAAAGGATGGACGAGAAGAAAAGGCAAAAGAATCCCCATCTCCTTTTCGAAAAGTCCAACATCTTCAGTGGCCCAAATTTTGGACTTCTGGTCCACTTTTGGTGGTCCATTCGGAATCTTAATGGGAGACTCTAAGCCGTTTGTTTTCTACATCGTGAAAGAGAAAATACCAGTATAAAAACAACTAGGTTTTCAGCCTTCTGTTTTGTTCCTTTTGTTTTCATTTTCTTTCAAGAAATTCCCTGAGAAACATTCTAAGTATATATGTGCTTTTCACTGCTTTCGTTTTCGCAAACCAGTTAAGTTACCAAAACCTCACAACAGATTATTTGCGATGAGTCAATGATAATATCCTTTTTGATTTATTATAATTTCTTTAAAAAATAAAACTAAAAAACGATTTCTTCATGTGATCGTGCTTTGTTTTTTTTTTTTTTTTTTCCTTTCAAGCTATCATATCACCTATCTCGTTCGATAGTCCTGCATGCTTAACAATCACGACAGAACTGACAAGTGGGTTCCACAGTTTTATTTATTTTATTTCTTTCTTTCTTTTCTTAAGTAGTATTATTATTTTTTTCGCTCTGGAAAATAATTTAAGGACGGATTTCAAATCACTCCCCCAATTGGCAACTTGCTCTATATAGCATAGTCGCTGGCCAAGACTAGAAGATCGACCCCACAACATTAAATAACTATAATAAGCCACATAATTACTACACAAACAAACAAACAAAATAATAGCTAGAGTTAATTTAATTAAACCACATAATTATTATACAAACAAACAAAATTACACCAATTAGTAGAAGCTAGAGCTAGCTTTAAACTAATCTCTTATTGATGCACAAGCAATTGGTGACTTTACGACACCTATCAAACTACATACTATCCTCCAAAAACAGGCATGCATTGCCATGCCAACATTTACTAAGTAGGCACACATTCCAACCTCACAAGTCACGCAAATCATACAAGTTTATTACTCAAACTTGTTACTATATATATACACACACACTATATATATATATATATATATTAGACATATTATATCTATTTGGGTTAGAATTTTCTTCTTATACAGACAAAGATCAACCATGTACATGCATGTGCATCACGATACATGCTTACGCACGTTATGTAAAGTATAAATATATATTTGTTTTAATATCAATATATATATATATATTTGTTTTTTGGTAATAAAAAAAATGTGTGTATTTTTTCCTGCAAGCCACGTGTTTGAAAATTTGTAAAAGTTGTTTGCTTTTTGCACTTTGTATGTGTGGGTTGTGTTTTTTAGTGCACCAACCGACTATGCAAGCTAGAGACACGCGGTGGTCACACCCCATGTGAAGGTTAACCTTTTTGGGTACGAACATCGGTTTTAGGTCAATTATAGCTTAGACTCCTGGAGTGTCTCCTGGAGTGTAATTTGAGTGTAATTTTTAAGTTGAATTTAAGTTATAATTTGAGTTAAAGTTAAAATTTAAATAAAATTGAGTAAAATTGAATAAAATTAAAACTTAAAAGAACGTGAACTTAAATAAAGTTAAAAATTGAGTTGTCTTTTTTTGAGTTTTTTGGATAAAAGAACATGCCCTTAGACATTATAAAAATAAGTCATAAGCGTGGGAAAGGAGAATACATACATACATATATATATACACATCTATATACTGTATATTATACTATATTATGCTAATCAATGAAATTAAATCAATGAACCCATTCCTTTTTTCATCTTAAAGTTTCTCTTTTTTGTGACACGACACTTGACTACATTTGCATGCAAACACAAAAAGTAAAGGAGACTCTATGAAACTAGTAAACTAAGCTTTTGCATAAAAAAGAATACAGAAAAAAGAAATTGATTTAACTAGCTGAATACAATTACGTTGTAAAGTTAAAGAATTTATTCTCAGAAAATACTATATTTTATATAGGAAAACGATTAATAGGTATGCAATCAAAGTTTGAATGTTATAATTTATTCTAAAAGAAGTTCGAATATTATTCTTCTAAAGAGTTAATAATTAAGAGAGAATTTCAGGTAACATGGGGAAGATATTCTGGTCCTATGTGTTATACATGTAATTTGTTATATTGAAACAAATGTGCACCGACTATAATTGTGGGGCGATTTGGACATGATTTTTTGGATTATATAAAAAGAGTCGGAATGCTTCAGGACTCAAATTTATGACTCATTTTAGGCTTGTTTGTTTTATATTCGTCATACTAAAATTTGAACCGACTCGAATAATAAGGACAATTTAGACACTAAGACCTCTTTGACTCGCGTAATTCATCGGTGACAATATAGATACTGATCAATTTTGTGATGCAATAAAACATATATATAATTTAAGAGAATTTGATAAAAATTTAGATAAATATTTTTAATATTTTTTTTATCATAAACAAAAAGATAATGGGGATATTTGTGCTAACCTGTATTTCAATAAGAACGGTAGAAAAGGCATAAGCAAAAGCAATATCTCCGATGGCTTGGAATGTCCTCCAAACCTTTTCTGATCCCGTCACGTCCACTCCAACTGTCACTCCGGTTAAGGTTGTCCTTGCATGTGTTCCACCTTCATTTTCAACACCACAATAAAAAAAAAAAATTGTCCTTAATCAAACTGAAATTAAGACTATAAACCAAAGCTTCTATTTTAAATTTACAAAGAGAATATATATTTAGTAAACAATGATATAAACACCGATAATGCTGAGCCCTACTCATTAATAAACGTCAGGTCCTACAGGGGCCCAGAAACAGCCCTCATAATCTATTGATTTTCCGAGCATATAAAAGCAAACGATAATAATAATTGAGAGAGAATATATATATATATATATATATATATTATACATATATGTGTGTGTGTGTGTTTATTTACCTATGACTTTTGCTATGGAGAGACCAACGCCAATACTGGAATAAGCAAAGGACATGACGGCAGCGAGTATGGAGAGCCATGAGAGGTCGTGAAAGTTTGGGATTTGACTCAGAACTATTTGGATACAACCGAATATTATCATAAACGGGTAGTTTGATATGGAACACTTTGCAGAATGGCCGTTCTTGTGGAAACAGTTTGACCTTTTCACGGCTCTGAAAAAGGAAAAAAAAAAAACATAACAGAAAAAGAAAAAGAAAAAGGAGTTATTAATTATAGAGTCAAAATAACGTAAATAGAGTTCTGTACAGGTAACAAGTGGTTGAAATGCAAGAAAACCATGCCAGAACTACTTAAATACTTACACCATACTGATAGAGGCAGTGATAGTGTAACCGACGGTTATCCCAACCAGATTTCCATACTGCGCCAATCCACAGAGCTGAACTTTTCTTCCCCCTGTGCAAAATCACAAAAAATAAAAAATAAAATAAAATAATAAAATAAAATAAAAAGCCCACTGATTAATATATTCAGTTGTCTTTAAATTTTTTCTTAAAAGATAATTAATTGACTCTTTTTCTTTTTCTGGTATAGGGAAGTGGTTTCCTTTAACCGATGTAACTACTATGCTCGGAACTCCCAACATGGAAGAATTAAAACGAAAGGTCATTACTCGGTCCAAAAAACCAACATTTATTCGCGTTTTGATAAGGATTCACTAGTACATATATGGAGAAAAAAATAAGGTAGCATATGCCTATATGGAATTATATATATATATATATGTGTGTGTGTGCGTAAATATTTATATATAAATGTATATATATGTTTTACCTAAATAGGCTTTGACCGCGTCCATGTAGGTGTAGTTCCGCTTGCCAGTGACGGGGTCCGGTGCCCGGTAACAGTCGGCGAGGAGGGTGGAGGTGAAGTAAGTGATGAAAGAGAAGGCCATCAGGACTGCTGGGCCGGCGGCCCAGCCCAACTGCGCGTTGGCCCATGCCAGAGACAGCACTCCCGACCCAATCACGGCCGTTATGATGTGTGCACTCGCCGTTACCCATGTCCCTTCAGATTTTTCATAGCAAAAACAAGAGTTAACGAAACAAAAAAAGAAAAAGAGGAAAACCCAGAAAAGAAAAGGGATATTTGCATGAAAAGAGAAGCGAAAAATCTATTCTTTTTTCTTTTATACCGGTTCTTTTGGCACGGCCGTCTTCGTCGACGTTCTTGCGGAAGTCGCCGTTCTCGAGGACGGCGGATTGTGGGTTTTGCTCTATGAACATGCTGTTCTTCTGATATTCCTTAGCCATTTTCTTGCTCTTTCTCTCTTCTACCTCCTGTGTGTTAGAGGCAGGCTTGTGTGTGGGTGTGAAGAGAAAAGTTTGGAGTTTGGTTTGGTTGAGAGAAATGGTTGAGACGAGTAGAGTGTATTTGAATGAGCTCAAAGGAGGGGCGACACTGGGATTAAATAAAGGGGGAAAAACATAGAGTGGGGCCTACCGGATGGTGGTATGAGAATCAAGTCAAAATGGTAGACTTGCGTGATACAGAGGCACCACCCTACTAACTCTCTCAACCCAATCACATTTTGCCGTGTAATAAGAGTACTTAGAATATAATTTGGAGGTTCTAAGTAATAAACAGCCAATTTGTATATGAAAAATGCTTTAGAGCCACTATTAGTGCCAGCTATTACAACTAATATAAGACCGGTACTTCATTTATCAATAAAAATAAATTAAAGGCACTATCAGTATAAAGCACTCTTACTAATAAAAAATAGGCGTTATTTGTAAATCTCTAAACTGATTTATCTTTTATAATGGATGATGAAGTACTAATGGTATCCTATAACATTATTCATTTATAAATTTTAAAGGATTTTGTCTAATTTTTTGTGTCTTAATTAGTACTCGACCAATTAAATCACACTACACCATTCAATGATAAGCACAAAAGAGTTAGTTAAAAAATAATTTAAATTTTTTATTCGACGTGACATGATATGATTAATTGGATAATAATTAAAATATCAAAATTAGACGGGAGATTTGAATTCAAATTTAAATTGTGGGATTTACCATTGAATAGTATACGATGCTCAACATCATATGTCTGCCTAACATTGTATATACGATAATTTCATTATCAACACGTAAGGAATTTCACCCAAACTTTTAGGGAGTCAAAAATCAATTAAAATAAGTGGTGCAATAAATTTGGAAGTGGAACTACAGTTAATTAAATAACTTTTAGTCACAAACTTTTTAGGTGAATAAAATTGTGTGTCAAATCTATGCACATGAGTAATAGATATATGATGATTTGTGATTAGTGATATTTTAAAAAGCCGTACAAAAGTGTAGGACTTAGAGGGTAGATGGTTGGTTGGGAAAGAATTATTGACAGTGGGTCGGGTGATAAGCACCATTGATGGTGGTTAAGGCTGTGTGTGGGTTTGTGTATCTCGAACCCCACGGTCCACGGCCCCCTAGTCCCCACTTTGTTCGAGTGTTTGGAGTCTTGTCCATCCATTTGGGGATTTTTAAGTGGCAAAGTGAAAACCCACCATTATTATTTGTTGTGTAATATTTTTCTTTGGGAAAGATAAGTTATAAGCGAAAGAGATAGAGAAAGAGAAATGATCCTCCTCTTCCTCTTCCTCATCCTCTCTTTAGAGTGACTGACTGCCGTTTGTCATGTTTTTTTGTAGGGCCCACCTAACACCCTTTAGTTAGGTCGGGTCCTTTTTGGACTTGGGCAATTGGTTTTTGGAAATGTCCACTCTCTCAATATCCTATTACCTCAAACTTAGAAATGCACACAAAAATAATTAACGAGACGAGATTATTCGTTCAATGCCTTCTTTTGTGTTTCATTGACTCCAAAGAGGTGGTGATGATTAATGATTATGAGATGCTATGCCCTTTTCCGTGATGCTCTCTAGCTTCTTGTATTTAATTATATCAACCAAAGAATCACAAAAACTTGAATACAACTCGTTAGTAGTGCACATCCTCAGATAATGGGAATAGATGAATCATGGATTGATGCTTGAAAAAATCATTTCTGATATGTCTTTCGTTTCGTGTGGCCATTTCCTATAATTAGTGGTGTATAATAGAATCAATTAAATTAAGTTACATACACGAATGTTACTATCACTCGATATTTCTTTTATCGAGCACTTCTATTCATCCTGATTTGAGATAATTCACACAATTAATATAGACCCCATGTGATGGGATTATTATCCTTTTTCTTTTTCACACTACATTCATTTTATAGTAAATACAGTCTATAATTATCCCCACGTGTTACTCGTACTTTATTTTCTCCAACACTATAGTACAAGTTTTCTGCCCTATGACATGTATATTTTGTCAAGTTTTTTCGCCATGACATTTTTTTCCCCTCCCACTTTCATTTTGTGGAAATTATGCAGTCTATTACCCTCCCCATGTGTTACTCTTGTTTTATTGTGCATTAATACTAGTACAAAGTTTCTTTCCCCTTGAAATATATGTTTTGTCAAGTTTTCTTGCACGGTATATACAACCGGTTATGAATTCTTCCTTTGTTCTCTTGCAGTGGTTTACCCTTTTTCACCTTATATATCCTTAAAAATTGTTATATATGTACATGTAGATACAAAAACCAGTATGCTTTGCAGCTTTTGTACGGACTTGAAATAGTCTGATCAATAATACTAAAGCCTTTGTACCCCTTTGTACCTATGAGGTTACAACGCAAGCTTTTTTATGTTTTGCTGAATGGCTATGACATGAGAGAGAGAGAGAGAATGGTATGAGCATGACATTTAGAGGACGTTTAATTTATATATTCAGAATTATGATTTAAAATCATTTTTATTTTACGTGTATTTTTTATGAGAAAAAATACTATAGAGAATCATAAATCATGATTCAGAATCAGAGACGAATATAGGAAACAAACGTCTCTTTAAATTGAAAGAACGAACAACAAACGCCTTTGACATGAGGTGATCGCTACTTCCAGTAGATGTGTATCACAAAAAATGCTTGTGGAGTACAAGAACTCTACGGTTCAAAAAGTCGGAATATATTCCTTTTAGTTTAGCAAAAAGAAGAACTATTAGCTGTATATGTGGTGGTTGTATGTCACTACAATGATGGAACATAAATATTGCTACTATATATAGAAAAAAAAAGCATATCATAAATATTGCAACGTAGATCATAAAATGATTGTCACTAAATGTTAGTACGTATAAAATATTATTTAGTGGTGATCTCCTTACCACCAGAAATGTTTTGAATTTTTCTTTAATAGTTGAATATTGTTTAATTCTCAAAATTAAGCCCTATATACACGCGCGCGCGCATATATATGTCAAGAAACCAAGTAAGAGATGTTTAACAAAATATCTAGCTGTGTCCGGTAGACACGACAAATAATCTCAACCAACGAAATTTATGGCTGATCAGTTTTATTTTCCATAATCCAAAGGATAAAGTTAATACAGACAAGAAAAAGGGAAATATATATATATATATATATATATATAATCAATATCATGTTCCTCTTTCCCACATCTCTAATTTCAATGGAAACTGGACAACATATTGAATATTTGTGAAGTTTTCTCTTTGGCTCATGAATACGTACTGTACTGAATTTACTTTGACTAGATGAGACTTGCACTAAAAACCAATTCTAACGTTAACCCAGAAGAGAAAAATAAGAGAGGAAAGCGAAAATTCTCAAGATTGTAGTACTCGCATATCATAATGAACAAAAAACGACAAACGTGTTTGACTCATTCATGACATGAGCTAAACTGGCTAGTAGCCATTTAATTCCACCAACGACATCCACACTATCCTGATCTTCGCAATTAGTGAACTGTTATTACATGACTTGTTTATTTGTTTATACTTGTGACGTGTCAGCTGAGGGCTAAATAAACAACATCGAATTAAAATTACACCCAAAAAAAAAAAAAGGTGAGAAAGCGCAGTTAAATCATCAGATGCGTAATGTCTGTCGTTTAACTTGTTTAGATGCAATTAATGATGCCTTAAAATGGGCAACCTATTTCGCAAGCAAATAGGCATATGCACTTATTGCACCAACAATCTTTGTCGTTTGCATTCTCAAACCAAATGATCAAGCGGCTGCGTGGAAGAAAAAGAGTCATAAATATTCGATGGCATTGATCAGCAGGA